GTTGAGTTGAGTTGAGTTGAGATATAAAATGGGGGTAAATACTATGAAAAAAAAAATTGTGATATGCAAAAGTAGTCATACATTGAAATCAGCTATTTTATTTTCTATTTCATTTACAAGAATATAGAAAACTAATAGAAAGCTAGATGTGTTGCATAAAAAAAAAAATAAATTCATTCAGCAACACTGATATGGAGTCAGAGGCAGAAATTCCTGTTTGGTTAGTTAAATGTGTGTAATGTGTTGTGGGCGGGCTTATGTCTAAGGTGTGTGAGAAACATGTTTCTACCAGGTGATTTATTGGCACAGAGATTTTTATGAACCTCTGAAGGACAATTCATTAGATTCGACTGAACTTTTCAATAGAAGATAAAGAAGAAGTTGTGGAGTTGTCGTCTCTTTAAAAATGACAGAAGCCACATATATGGTAAGTAGGTCACACCAAGTAAATATTTCTATAGGCTTTTTTCTTGTAACTCAGAGTTAGCCCAAGTAATGAGTAATCTGCTTACCATAAGAGCTCTTCCATAAATACTTGAATTTAAACATAGATAGAAAAAAAAATATTTTTTTATTGAGAGTAATAGATTTTTAAACTAGATTACAAAAAATGTATATATTTGAGACTCTTTTCCCAGGTGAAGTCTTACTGTAACAATTATTTCTCTCTTCCTTGAAAAGAAAATAGTGGATGTACTGTAGATAGACATATTTATAACTCTGTATTCTTAGCTTTTATTTTGTTTTTTTCTAAAGTTTATATAGTTTTAACAATTTGTACACTTTAATTGTTTGAGATGGAAGTCAAAAGTCCTACAAGTGGTATAGATTTTGCACACTTTGACGCTTTCAGCAAAGCTTAACTAACCAGTTTTAAAGGCACATAATCACGATATTTGACATTTTTTAAATGTATACCACAGTAACCGTAACATAACATTTTTATTACAGATTATGGTGTTCCACTGGCACAGTATTTGTTATCTTGGTCTGTTAAACGTAATTAATTTGTTATTAAATATAGAGTTTCTGTGTATATTTAAAAACAAAACAGAAACATACATACAGACTTAAGGCCAGCAACTTTTCAACAACTGTTTATTAACTACCGGTACCAGTAATTTCTTAAACACAGAACAGAACAGTATTGGTATTTTATTTTTAATACTTTCAGTATTGTAGCCTTGAACATCAGTTATGCTTTCTGTTTTTCATGGGGCTTCAGCATACAGTGCACCTTGCCACGGTGTCATCATTCCTCACCATGGCCGGTTCTAGACAGGGGCCAACAGGGGCCAGTGCCCCTGTAGATCATGTCCTGGTCCCTGTAATGGCCCCTGTACTAAAGATATAATACTTAAAAGAAATTCTAATGATGATATGCGCTAGAACAGATATGGTTACTGATAGGTCCTTTGGATCTATTTCATTCTTTTTCTTTACAAATTCTGTTATTATTATTTACAAATTCTTATTCAAAAACAATAAGGTGATAGCTTCAGTGGTATTGAGATAGGATCTCAGTTTTCATCTGTTAAATATTTTTTTTCACAACAAATAGAATAAAAAATGCTCTAATTTTTACAGATGAATTTAACAGTTTTTCTTGAATTCTAATTTAAATTTTATAGAAAACTGTAGTTTTAACTTAAATTAAGACAAAAATATTTAAAATTCCTAAATTATAAATGTATATTGACCTCATAAGAAATATAATTTTTATTGAACCTAATTGAAAAGAAATTTCTCTTTATGCAGCTCTCTTAATATATTTGAATCTCTTGCCCTGTTTTTTTTTATTTCATGCTCTTCTGTGCCCCCATGAAAACATGCTGCCCCCCTCCTGGCCCCCTGGTACATTTGGTCTCGATCCGCCACTGCTCCTCACCTTCCCTGGACGTGGATATACTTTAGTATATTCTGCTGTAAAATTAGTCCTATATTTTCGTTTTTTACTCAAGGATTCAACCTCTGCTGTTTCGCATTATGCACAGCTTTGAGTGGTAACTAGGTGACTGCCAGAGAGTAACCCAGAGAAACTTATCGGACTGATCCAATCAGCTCTCTGAGAACCAGTCATCTGGAACGCTCACTGAACAGAGCATCGCTTTGTACAGATACGCTGCACAGGTTTCACCAGCAACCTCCTCCCCACACCCCGCTCTCTCTTGTTGTCTACGCAATCTCAGCAGTTCTAATCCACACATGATGCACGAGTTATTGTACTGCCTGCTCGCTCTCACTTGCATTAAAAAAACACCACCTTGCATAGTCTAAAATCCGGGATAATTTATCCGACTCGCAGGCATACGTGAACAACTATCTACATCAGGGAGACTCTCGGAACTTCCGGGAGACTTGGGATGTCTGACAATTGCTCAACAAGCTTAAGTAATAAAGGGAATTAAGGTAGGAACTCCCAGTGTGGTTGCAAAGAAAAATCCAAGATCAAGTGTAAGTGCAAAAAAATGATTTCAAGAGGGATAAAATTCAAGTGTGCTGGTTAGTTGCGCAGTATAACCTTTGCAGTAAACCAAAGCTCAGAAATATCTCTGACGTCATTCCAAATTTGATAGAAACATGATTAAATGTCATTGCCAACACTCCTACGGGTGTTAGCAATGCTTTTAAGCCCCAGTCGGTTTTCCGAGAGGCATTATCGCTCAGTTGGTACTTCCAGGCCTTATTTTGTAACTGCGTCTTACCTACCATCTGTCTTTTTGGTTGTTCACATATGTTTATGTCAGTTCTTCGCAGCTGTTTTTGGGGTCTATTTTGTTATCCATCCATTTTCTGTCACGCTTATCCCAAGCGGGGTCGTGAGGGGTGCTACTGACTCCAGCTGTCTACAGGCGAGAGGCTGGGTAAACCCTGGACAGGTCGCCAGTCCATCGGAGGGCAACACATAGACACACAGAGACAAACAACCATGTACACACACACTCACACCTAAGGACAATTTAGGAAAGCTGATTAACCTAACAGTGATGTTTTTGTACTGTGGGGGCAAGCTGGACTTCCCAGAGGGAACACACGCATGCTCAGGGAGAACATGCAAATGCCATGAAGAAAGGCCCCAGGCCGGGAATCAAACCCAGAACCTTCTTGCTGCAAGGCGACCACTGTGCCTCTCTATTTAGTTAAATATCTCAAATGGGCTATTTGTACACAACTATATTTAGTTTGATAATTACCAATACTGGTGATTACTTTGATGCTCAAATTTTTCTCTTAGCCCCTCTACTCCATCTTACTAAATTTCTATTGAAAAGTTTTAAGTGGTGGACATTGTTATGCATGAATGTGTTCAGTGAATGGCAATCACTGAATACGTTCATATTTTTAGTGAATAGTGAACTAAAAGGATCGGTTTGGAAGTGATGAATGTAAACGAGAGTGACGTTCGCTCTGAGGATAATGAGCAACAAACACAGCCGTTCATTTGATAACACTTTTTATTGGATAACAGCACTTTTCATGGCAAACAGCATGACAGACCAACATGTCTGCTGCTAGTACTAGTCTGCGCAATTCTGACTCATCTACAGGTATTTCTGATGCCAGTTTTGTAGAACGCTTGGCAGAGTTGTTTTAACAAATAAAGGAAGACTCAGATATAAAAAAAACTCAAGTTTTTGTACGAACTGTGCCCATCAGGACTTATTAAACAGGTCCCTACATCAGCCTTGTCCAAATCCAATTTAAAGTGACAGAACGTAAGAAATCATTTTGAACATATCATTTCAGCCGAATCTGAATGTATCTGTATGTTTCTAAAGTTCTGTGTAATTTGGCTAAATAAAAGCTTTACTGCACATACAGCATACCTTCACCAAAGCTAGTATTTTCCATTTCTTTCTAAATTTCACACATTTAAAGGGTGAAATGAGAGTTTCTATATTATAGGATTGTGGCTTAATTTGCCAAAAGACATAAAGACACAACTACTTCATTTATAGGTTTATGTACTTGTGAGCTATTCAATTTTTATCCTTGTAAAATTAACTTTGAATTTGTTCTTTTTAATTATGAACTGGAACAACACTGGTGGAGATATTCTTAGAAAAAAAATAATAATAAAATAAAAAATTACCTTTACTATTGGGTTGTTCCTGATGCAATGCATCTAGTTTGTTCAGAGTCTCTCCCTGGTCTGGGTGTCAGACATAGTTGGGTTAATTTCTGGGTAAACAAGTTTTGTCAGTTTCCAACAGTTCATACCCCAAAGCAAAACTGTAGCTTGTTATAATTAAAGTGCTTTCGCCGTCCTCGCCTAGTGCTTTCACGGTCCTAGGCAACCTATTCTCATTATGAGTGCGTGTGAAATCATACGAAAAGTTATGCACCGTAATTTTGTACGTTTTGGACGTTTTTTTCGTTGTATGTGCATGCGCATCTGACGCACCATTCACGAATATAGAATATAAATTACAATTAGTCCTAACCCTGACCCTAACCCTAACCCTAAGATATAAAACAGCAAGCAACGTAGTTAGAGACATGAATAAGTGATGATTGCACTGTTTTTCCCATTTTTACATCCGTCCGCAGATCTGTTTTTTTTTTCTGTCTGCCAGCGCATGCGCACTGATGTGGTTTTTTGAGGAAAATCGTCCAAAATGTACGAAATAGTGTGCATAACTTTTCGTACAATTTTATACGCACTCATAATGAGAATATGTTGTCCTAGGATGTGATGACCGTTCAAGAACTAGAGGAGGTGTCTCAGCGAAAGAAATACTGCTAAGAGCTTCAGATAATTTATGTGGGACCGCTGCAGGTTCTGGCTCCAGAGACCTCTTACATAACGGCCCTTGTAAATTCCTCCCAATCCTGACAGGCTTGCGTCTGTGGTGATCCCCTTCTGTGAGACCAACAGACCTTATGGCACACCCTGCCTTCAGGAAGCCCGGGTGGTGCCAGGGGCACAGCACCCCAAAGCACTGTGCTGTCACAGCCACCCTCTGTACACCATGTTGCACCAGGCAGCGTGTGACTGCAGCTGCCCAACGCTGAAATCCTCTCATGTGTAGAAAGCCGAGGGGAAGAACTTGGATGACGGAAGCAAAAAGTCCCACAAGCCGAAGGTACAATCCGAAAGGGACTGATCTGAGCAGGCGAAATGAATTGAGACAGGATTCCAGTGTGTCCACCCTGTCTGCCGACAGACTAGCAGTGAACAAAACTGAATCCAGTGCTAATTCCAGAGAGATTATAGTTTGTACCTAAAGCACTTTTCTCTCAGTTCAACACGAAACCCGGATTGAGTAGGTGGCAAACGAGCATCTGTGTGTGCACCACAGCTTCTTTTTGGAATTGTGCCAGAAGGAGCCAATCGTCCAAATAAGTGACGAAGCGGATGCCCCACACAAATACTCTCGGGCTCAAGGAGAGGCCAAATGGGAGCACTGTAACAGACGCCCTGAA